TATACACCGCTACAAAATGGTATATCGGAGAGGAAAAATAAAACCATCCTCAACATGGTGAGAAGCTTGCTGGTAAGAGGAAAAATTCCAAAGAGTTTTTGAATGGAGGAAGTGAATTGGAACATTCATGTGTTGAATAGATTTTATACTTTTTCTATTCAAAACATGACACCATGGGAGGCTTGGAGTAGGCGGAAACTCGTTGTAAATCATTTCAGAATTTTCGGTTACATTGCTTATGTACATGTCTCAGATGAGAAATGGAAGAAGCTTGATGATAAGGGTGAAAAGTGTGTCTTTCTTGGTATAAGTAAAATGTCCAAAGCATATAAATTGTTCATTCCACTCACGAAGAAGATTGTGACCAGCAGAAATATCATTTTTTATGAGGAGAGCACTTGGGATTGGAATAGGCAGTAGCCTACTCTAATGATATTTGATGGAGAAAACAATGAAGAAAGGCAGCAGCCCCTATAACAACAAATTCCAGCAGTTTCTATCCTTGAAAATCCACCAAATAAAACTCAACAGCCGCTGAAACTTCACCAACAGCAACCTACCGATGCAGCAGCTGAATCACGTCTTCACCATGTTCGAAAAAGGCCTGCATGGACGACAGATTATATGGTAACTAGAATTGACCAAAATGGAGATCCAATCATTCACTTTGCTTTGTTTTCATATTGTGATCCTATAACTTTCGAAAGTGCTGTCAAAGAAACAAAATGGCAGAAGGCGATGGATGATGAAATTGCAGCCACTGAAAGAAATGATATTTGGGAGCTATCTGATCTTCTAAAAAGGCACAAAACCATTGGTGTGAAGTGGATCTTCAAAACAAAACTAAAGGAGAAAAGTGAAGTTAACTAATATAAAACACAATTCGTGGCTAAGGGATACAAGCAAGAGTTTGGAATCGACTATAAAGAAGTTTTTCTCCAGTTGCAAGGCATGATACAATCAGGCTGGTAATCGAGTAAGCAACACATAATTCATAGTCTATCTTCCAGTTAGATGTAAATCGGCATTCTTGCATGGAAAGTTGGAGGAACAGGTATTTGTTGATCAACCTCATGGTTATATTAAGATTGGAAATGAGCGTAAAGTGTAGAGACTAAAGAAAGCTCTTTATGGATTAAAACAAGCCCCATGGGCTTGGTATAATCACATTGAGACTTATTTTTTGAAAGAAGGTTTTAAAAAATGTCCATTCGAGCACACACTTTTTATTAAAATTGGTGATGGAGGGAAAATGCTCATTGTCTGCTTATATGAAGATGATCTTATATTTACTGGCAATGATAGTGTTATGTTTGAAAAGTTTAAAATTCTATGATGGTTGAATTTGAAATGTCTGATCTTGATATAATGCATTATTTTCTTGGCATTGAAGTGGTGCAGTCTGCTACTGGAATCTTTATTTCTCAAAAGAAGTATGTGCGAGAGATTTTGAACAGGTTTTAGATGAAGGATTGTAATCCTGTAAGTACTCCAACTAAGTTTAGCTTGAAGCTAAACAAAGATCATGATTCATGGAGGAAAGAAGTTGGACATCACACTGTATAAGCAAATTGTGGGCAGTTTGATGTATTTAACTGCAACAGGATCAGACATAATGCACTTTGTGAGTCTAATCAACAAATATATGGAGAATCCAACAGAGCTACATCTTTTAGCTGCCAAGAGAATCTTTCGTTACTTGCAAGGAACTAAAGATTTTGGGCTATTCTACAAGAAGGGTAAAAGATCATATTTGATTGGGTTTACTGACAGTGATTATGCAGGAGATTAAGATAATATGAGGAACACTTCGGGTTATATTTTTATGCTGGGCACATGGGCTGCGTCATGGTCATCTAAGAAGCAACCAATTGTCACTTTGTTAACCACTGAAGCTGAATTTGTTGTTGCAACAAATTTTGCTTGTCAAGCTATCTGGCTGAGAAAAATTCTTGAAGAGCTGCATTTCAAGCAAGTGGGAGCTACTACAATTTTTTGTGACAACAACTCAGCCATTAAACTCTCCAAAAACCTTGTGCTACATGGAAGAAGCAAGCATATTAATGTGAAGTATTATTTTTTAAGAGATCTCATTGGAGAAATTGAACTGAAGTATTACAGAAGTGAAGATCAGCTAGCTGATATATTTACTAAACCCCTCAGATCTCTTCCCTTCCACAATCTGAGAAATTTGCTGGGCATTTGCACTTTGGAGAATCATGCTTGAAAAAAAATGTTGTATAATTAAACTGAAGTCCAAAAGCTTTCAGTTTAAGGGAGGGTTTATTGAATAATTTAGTATTCTGCATGTTTATTATCTCAGCCTAAGTTGTCATAGTCTTTAGGGGTTTGACTATTTTGTTTTTGCAAAACATGGTCCATGTTATCTAGTTTTTAGGAAGTTGGTTTTGTACATTAGTGCCTATTTTTATGTTATTTCTGTTGTGTACTAAAATAATATACAGAAAGTACAAGTTCTTTCTCCTGCTTTCTCTTTTACACTTTTATCTTCTTTTTCTTGTTATCAATATTTGCCTTTAAAAAAAAAAAAACACACACACACACACACACAATATCTCGACTCATGAGTTAATTGGCCCTTTAGAATAGAGAAAATTAAATCTCTACTCAAAATGAGTAATACAAGGCTATAGCCATTGTTATCTCTACTTATAAAAGGAAAAAAGAACCATACAAATATCATGGGCATTCCATATGGGCCCACACAACAATGGGCAGAAGCCCAAAGCAAAAAAAAAAAAAACATATAGGCAAACGTCCAAGCCCATACCAAAAGCCTGTGGTCGTATATGATGTAATCGCACAAGTAAGGATGACAACAGTGTGGGTATGGCACGGGTGTGCCTAAATTCATACCCACCATATTTAATTATGGATAGGGATGGCAACGGGGGCGGGTTTGGGCGGGTGTACCCTCCCCCGCCCCCACAATCATTTAAAAATCCCGTCCCCGTCCCCACCCAAAACCGCAAAAACAAGGGAACTTTCCACCCCATCCCCGTAACCATTTAATATATTTACCCCCGCGGGTACCCGCCCCGCCCTTTTTAAAACCATAATTTAATTAATGTTGAAATGGATTTGCTCTTTTTTTTTTTTCTTTTTTTCTTTTTTTTTTCTTTTTTTTTTTCCTCATTTCCAATTCTTCACCATTACAACTTTTCTTTTAATGAAATTCATTTGTTACTTTAATATTGTTATATAGAGTATTTAATATATAGTGAAAAATATACATACTAATAAAATAAAGGTACTTAAGTAATTTGCCTATCTAGACGGGACGGGGCGATGCGGGGCGACCTCCCCCCGCCCCCGCACCAAACCTGCGCGGGTTTTTATTGCATCAAATCATCCCCGCCCAAATAAGCAAAACGATTCCCCAAAACCGTAAAAAACGGGGCGGGGTGGGGCGGGTAACTACGGGGGCGGGTCAAATTGCCATCCCTAATTATGGACAAATCCATATCCATGGCGGGTTTAAAGTTCGCAGTCCATCTCGGCCCCGTTGGGATATGAGTGTACCTGTGTCTGCTCGTTTACGTTATTGCTTAACGTAGAAGAGCTTGAAACGAAAAAAACTGAATGATTGAGTTCAATATCAAAGAGCACTAAAGTTATAAATTATTAAAAAGTTAAATCTGTTATAAGCTTTTTAGAGAGAGGAAATTATATCATCTGAACTAATGTCATTATCTAACACCAACCAAGTATAGTTATTATTTTTGTTTTTCATTTATTAAAGTTTAAATATAAGAATAATAATTTCTGTAGAAGGTAGTGCTCTCAAGTCTTCTCTTCTAGTGGACTAGAGTTTGCCAAAAAAAAAAAAAAAAGAAAAAAAAAAATCTAATTTAGCCGAACGCTTCTACCAAAATAAACGTCGAATCTTACGTGGCTTTGTCCACGTCAAATAAATAAATGTTTCTTTATCCTTGCTCCTTTTTCAAGATCACCTACTTTTTTCTATTCATAAATCTTCCAAGAATAAACCTTTTCAATTCCAGATGAAAAATATGCAGAAATTTTTTTTTTTTGGATAAGTAAATATCCACACAAGAGTTGTCATTAACCCAAAGAAGAGAAACGGATGAAACTTCTCAAAATTTCTATTTGATTTTTATGGATACAAAATCTGAAAAAGGGAGACAAAACCAAAATCAAAGATAAGATTGAATACAAAAGAAAAATCGAGAATGAGAGGAAGAGAGGAGAGAGAAGGGAAGAGGTATGAGTTATCTTTTTAGAAAATAATCTGACGTGGCTGAGCCACATTAAATTTAACTTTTTATTCAGTTGTTTGATTCGATTCTCTTATCATTTTCCTATTAAAAAAATACTCGACCAAAAACATTTTTATGATTCTATGAATGGCAGCGAATGGGCCATTCTTAGTGTCAAGCCATACATATTTAAGCAGGACCAGCAAACCCAACAGGCTACATGCCCCCTTAAGCCCAACCTTCAACTTTTTTTTTAGGCTCCTTTGTTTTGATGAATTTTTATTTTTTATTTTTATTTTTTGTGTTTGGTTATCATAAAATATTTATAAAAAAATAAATTAAAACCTAAAAAAAATAAATTATTCATCAATCTTTGACAAATTATTTTGTACGCTCTGCCTGATGAACTTGACCTCATCCTTAATCTAAATTTTTACCAAACACACAAAAAGTAAAAAAAATTTATCTGAAATAAATTTTTTTTTTTTTCTCTAAAAACATATTTTACGTCAAAACAAATTAACCCTTAAGTTATTTATTTATTTATTATTTTTTATGTAAGAATCCGAACTCCGAACACAGAACCATAGAGGGGTTTGGAGTCTTTGGAGCACTATCTTTATTTGTATCAAATGTGGAAGTTAGGGCTTGGACCACTTCGTTTGCAGCCCAAATAAATATTGAATAGGGCTGGAATCGGGTTCGGGTTAACCCCTAAATCCGGGACGAACGGGTAAAATTTCCATCCTTGGGTTCAACCGTCGAGACTTGAGAAAGAGCTGAGAATGGAGACTCCACAGAAAACAAACATATTCAGAAGAAAAATGGAGGAGAAGCTTCCAAATTGACATGTGAAACCCTATAAACCGAACCAAATCAAAGGGCGCTTACAGAGAGAAAGAATGGAGAAGAACCAGAACAGTAATGACAACCAGTATAATCCGATCAGAATCCTAAATCAAATGGTCTCAGAGCCCTACTACCTCTTCCACTTCCTCGCTTTCTTTTCCTATATTCCGGTCCGATGCTCTGCATCTCAACTTCTCTCTCCTCACTTCAACTCTCGTCTTCTTCACCGAGTATACCATCTCTCTCTCACACACAAACACATACATATGTATGCATAAATTTGAGATTTACCATTGTATATATTCGCAATCCAGATCTATCTTTATGTGTTTTTACAATTTTATTCCTTTCTTGTATTGAAATTTTCAATGTTTTTGAGTTCGTACATATCATGATGTGTTAGTGTTTATTTCCTTTTTCAAATTTGTGTGCTGATGCGCAAGTGATTTGACTGATCCAGCGGATCAGTCTGTGATATATATATATATATATATATATTTTTTTTTTCCCTTATGATTACTGGTGATTGAGTTATTAAATTTCATACATTGTTGTGTTTCCTTGTTAGGAACTTCAAGCGGTTCTTGCATTCTGTGTGTTGACTGTTGTGAAGGTATGATTTTACTGAACTTTATACAAAAGTTGCTACTAATAAATTAAATGCTTATTATGTTTGAGTTTGCCTGCCTTCATTTGAATTAATTTTGATTGCTCAGATAGGTTCTTCTTACTATATGCTCATTTCGAATGTTAATTATTATCATAATGAATTTAGTATTAAATTTGAGAAATTGCTTTTAAGTTGTTAATATAAAGGTAGAGTATAATTGTAGTGTTGATGTTCACTTCATGCATGGGGCTGTACAGTCAGAATTCTTGATAAACATATATACAATATGAATATATCTTCGGTATGTGTACGGTGACAAACTGATCTTTTATTGTCACACGAATTCATATAGACGAAAAATTGCCCTATGATTTGCCAATGACAACCAACCAACCAGGTTATCAAAAGTACTATGTCTCGTGGATTTTTATGTAAATAAACTAATATTTCAGTTTTTATATGTAAACTGTAAGTAGTTTAAATATACTTTGTTTTGAAGTGGTGATTTGTTCTGCCTTTCGATTTTTTTATGTTTGTGACAGATGGTGAGAGAAGAAACATGGGAGGCCTTCACTGCAGAAATTCTGTTTTTCGCAAAGGTAATCCCTCTCTTAATAGCAGATGCACAAAGACTCCATTACCTGAGCTTTTTAACCCTAGAAGTCTGCTAATATTTAAATTTTTGATCTCATGTAAGACGGGTCTATGTTCTAGTAGTAATTAAACATTTCTAAATTGCATGGGCCAGTGAATTATTAAACATAATAGATTTTATTTTAGAGTTGTCATTGAGCTCTGTACTTCCGTTGATCACTGAAAATTTTATTCAGTATATTTAAAAGGAGCCCGATGGTGTTTGTTGGTTATTCACAACATTCATTTTTTCATGACAAGATGAGAAAAAAGGTAATGATAAATTTAGCACTTCTGTGTCATTTTTTTTTTTCTGTCTTATTTATGGATTACTTGGATGTCTTCCTCTTTGATCTATTATGTTGTATAGTTCTTGGATAAACATAATTTTTTTTTTTTATAGGTCTACTGTGTACATAGGTGCAACCTCCTTTTGGTACTTCTGCTTAGTCCCCTTTTTCTTGTCTCTACGTGTGTGTGTGTGTGTTCATGCTGATGAAATCTAGTTAATATGAAAAACCTGAATCTAGCAAGAATCTAGTGAACGATTTAGCCTATTCATTTTCAAGAGAGTTTTTTGCAGGGAAGATTAGAGAATATGCTCTACATCCTCCCTTTTCTTGACATACCGTGATTCTTAATATATGGTGTATGAACCTGCTAAAAAAAGAAGGATGGAAATGGAACTGGCTAAAATAGATTCAATAAAGCCTTTTGTCATTACTACTTGAAAGCTTCACGAAAAATATTTTTGAATCCATTTGTGATCATCTTTTACATCACAGCATTAGCCTTGTTATCACTATTAAATTGAAACAAACCACTTGAATTAGTGCACTGATTGTTTGTATAAGTACATGCAGTCATGTCATCCTGGTTTCATTATTAGGGAAAAGTACCTAATACTTGTGTGTTATCTTCCCGGAAAAATATTAAATTTTGGTAGATTGGAGTAAACGCAAATGACTATGAAATTTATTGAAGGTGGACATTCAAGAGGAACACGATGCATTATTCTGGATTTACAAGGATGGATATAATGAAGAGGATGTCAATCATTTTGCTGAACATGATAAGATGAGAGTTATAGCTCAAGGTCATATACTTAACAATTTGAATGGATGATATATGCGATGAGTATTGGATCAACCAAGCTTTATGGTGCTAGAAGTTTGGTGGTTCATGAATCAACATGGTATGAGAACTACTTAAAACCTAATCAATAGGTATTTAGTGAATATAAATGGGATATGTGTCATTTATCAGATTGATTGACAAGTTGAATCTCTATTGATTTAGAAAAGAAGTAATGGTAATTGATTGAACTCGAGTTAATAAATGACATTTGTGCACCCTTGGTTCACTAATACTACTTTAAATGGTTTATTGATGTTATGGTTCAAGTTCAAGGTTTTGGAAGTACAAGGGGAATGCTATTAGAACCTTGAGTAGAGTCTATGATTAAAAACACAGTGAACAATAATTTAACAAAAAATTACAGTACTGGCAGCTGGATCTAGGAGAATGACAACCAAATGGGTCAACCTCGTGCAGTTAGGAGACGTCTTTTCTGTGTTGAGCTGAATTGGTATATTAACTGTGATACTTATTTCTTTATCTGCTGACTTGAGGTCTATTTTTTCAGATTTTCCTTGTCGCCATCGCTTTAGTCATGGATTATCACTTGGCTATTTGGTACATGTTGGTATTTTTAGGTAGGCCTTATTGTATTTTCTTCAACTTCTACTTGTTAACTAGGAAAAAATAAACATAGTCAAAATAAGGATTATAGTATGTCAATTTCGCACAAGTATGGTTCGAAACTAGCATTTTGCCTTTTGTTGTTAAATCTCACCTAATGAGGTAAATTCATGTTACCTTTTTATTATATCATCTGTAGTAGTTAATGTTACTTGGGGTGTGGCCGATCCCATCCATATGGGATAAAGGCAAGGATGATGATGATAATGAATATTACTTGGGATGTTATGATCAGAAAGTTTTAAGGCCTGCTTGGTTCAATTTTGTGAGAACAAAGAAACCTGGAGAACAAAATGTGTTTGGTTGACAATTTTTTGAAAACTATTATCTGTAAACTGAGTTTAAAAAGCCAAAATTTAGAGAACTGATATTTTTAGAGAAGTGAAGCTAATAGGCCCTTACTCTCTATCTTTCCTACATCATTACCATTTTAAATCACTTTTCTTATTTTGACAGTTTGTTGTTGATATTATGCACTCAATTTTAGATGAAAATGTTTGGTGAATCGAAAACTGATATATTGCACCAACGTAGTCTAATGGAACTTCCTCACCTTCCAAAGTAGAAGGTTGAGGGTTCAAGTCCCAAAAGGGACAAAGTGGGTGTGTGAGCGTGTTTCTTGCCAATGAAAAAAATCAATTATATATTGCCCGACACAAACAAATCAAAGGGGCAACCAACACTTTGGGAGCCTTAAGATGCTCAGATGTAGGACCACAAGAGGTCCCACATCAGTGCATCCTAAGACTTTCAAAGGAATCGGTGACCAATTCGGATGGTTTATGTCAGCGGAAATAGCACTGTTCTTGCTGAAAACATGACATTTATCACGTGTTGAATCAAAGTTTTTCATAAGATGATATATATCCAATGATTTTGATCCAGTTGCTTTCTGTAATGTGGTTTTCCTTTTTTGCTCCCAGTTATATATATTATAGCGCAACAACCTGCGTACAACGGACTAGGTATGACATGAATAAATGATTATGCTCCTTTTAATTTTCTTTCCACTTTTTTCCCATCTACTTTTCTGCAATCAAGTTCATTTTATGACTTACAATTATAACTTGCTTCATGATTTGATAAACTTATTTTTTATTTAATTTTTTCTTTTTATTTTACTTTTGTAGGTGCGTCAAATCAATTGACACCACTGCAGTTGGAAGCTTTGCTGACTGAGGGGACCACATCAAGATTTTGGCTGGTTGGTTCCAGACTTGTTCTTACAATTCTTTATATCATGGTTTCCGATTGAAACATGTTGGATTTAGGTTAATGGACGTATGAAACACATTCAAATCATTAGTTTATTACTTCTAATTGTAGAGTCCACAAACACATACACTGGTAATACTTTCACTTAGTTGGAGGCTTTCAGAACTTAACTTGAGTTAGATCTCCTCCAGTGCATTGGGATTGAGATTCTCATGCTGATTTTGTCATATGATGATTTAATTGTTGAATGAATTCTAAACAGTGACATGCCTCTCCTAATAAATTGAGCAAAAAGATCTGGGAATTTAATTCACAAATCACAACCACTTGTCCAGTTACTGCTGCACGATAATTGTACAACAACTATGCCCGCAAAACGGAGTTACTCGGCCTTCAGCGTGATGAGACTAAAATCCAAGGGAAGATTCTATTATATATTTATCATCGAGAGAGAGAGAGAAAAAATCTCAAAGAACTACCTTAGTTATTTATGCAATATAACTAAAATACTTGACTGATGTTTCAATTTCTGACAGGAGTCGCAATATACTTTGAACTATTATATAGTATATACTATTATATCAATAATTTTTGATGGGAAGATTATGCTCCACATCTTAAGGGTTTGACAAGAGAAGAAACTTACTGCCTTTGTGCTGTTCTGTCTACTTAAAAAGTATTTTACTTTGTCACCAAGTTTATTTATTTATTTAATTTTTTTTTTTTTTTTTTTTTTTTTTTCTCATAATATAAAATATCATTGATGATGTACCCAGTAAGAAATCATTGTACTAATATCATTTTTTTTTTTTTTTTTTTTCTCATAATATAAAATATCGCGTCGACTTGTTCACTAGTTAAGTGTTTTTCCAACTGACCAAGTTTGTTAAGTGGGCTCAGTGGCTTACCTAGAAAGGTGTTCTGCTTCTGAAAGTTTTCTCAACATTACAGATGATTTGGCTTAACTGCAAGCAAATTGTGCTAATGCAAATACCCATAAATTTTCGCAGGACATGAGTTTGCACCAGTTTATGTCACGTGAATATCTAATCTTAACAAGTTGACATGCAAAGCTATATCTTTGTCTTATGTTCATCAGTATCTGTTTTCCTTTTTCTCATTTTTAAGTCATTCAATTTTGGCAGGTAGAATTTCGTGCTTTGTCTTCATCTACTTGCATACGTACCAGTCGGTTCTTTCCCGACCTCTCAATTACGTACGTGTTTTGCCTTACGATACATAGGAATTAAAATGTGACGTATCTAGCGAACTTGTATGGATTGTGAAAACAGAATCATTACCTAAAGTTAGCTGTCATTAGTATTTAAATGTATTCTCAAGTTTACTTTGACAGATACGCAAACAAAAATATATCTTTTGGGATAGTTGATCTGGGCCTCTTTCCAAATGCCGCAGAAAGATTTGGAATCTCTCTTGGTAAGTTATTTTAGCTATTGCCTCATGTCTTGCTTCTTTTGATAGTCCTACTTTTTAAGTAGATTGCTTGACTTTCCCGTAGCAAATAAACTGTCCTATTAATTTCAGCTTTGCCTATTCGTGTCATATATATTTGTTTTAGTGATCCATTTGGGGGATTATACTTATAGGGAGCATCGGCCAACTTCCAGTGTATATATTATTTGAAAATGCAACGGAGGTTACACGCTTTCCTCAGGTCAATTTTGAAGCAAAAGCTTCTAATCCTCCTATAACGAAGGTATCTTCCTCAAACTACATGCATATCTTAGAAAGTTTATGACGTGCCTACTTTAATACTTGTGTATTTTTTCTTCATTGAAACAATGACTGCATACTCTTCAATTGCTTTTACTTTCTTGTATGTATCAACTTGCGTACTTTGTTCACTTCAAAAGTGAATGCTCAAAGATGCTTACTGCTAATTGGTAATTTCTAATGAGTTTTTCTTATTTTTGCCATGTGTCATATAATTAGGCTGCAAAAGTACCAAGCCTGAGCTGGGTGTATCGCTTCTCGAGCTCAGCTCAGTCAAATTGGACCTTGTTTAAGCTTGGCTTGAGTTCAAATCGGGCTGAGAAGTAGGTCTTTGAGCTTTAGCTCATTGACCACTTGCCAAACTCGAGTTCAACTTGGTTAGCTCATAAAATGTATTCAGGAAAACGATTTTTATATTTTCTAGTGTTTTTTTGTGCACAAAGGTGGTAAAATGTTTTACACATGAATATATTTTACATTCCTTCTCACAAAAATGCTTACGGATGAAAAAATCGTAAGTCAATTTATGAACGGTAGTCTCAGCTCTTACCCCTCGTACATGTTCTCTGTGAGATTCTCAGTTGATACTTTTAGTCCCTTTCTGTCTCGTGATAAATCGTTATTATATATATATGTGTGTATAAAATAGTAAACAGTTATATATATATATATATATCTTGTAACCCGGTATTTAGGGTTTGGAGTGGGATTAGAGAGAACACTGAAAATCTCAGAGAAAGAGAGTGAGAGTAAGAGCTAGGGTTTGGGAGCAAAATCTTGTAATCTCCTTTTTTCGCATGGTGAAAACTTTCGCTGGATCTTCACCGTGGACATAGGCACAACTTGAGTCGAACCATGCTAAATTTTGTGTCTTATGTGGTGCTAGTTTTTGTCATGCTTCGTGATTGTTTCTTGGTTTGTGGCTGTTTGCCGTAATGCATATCGTTCTGCATATCTTGACCCTTTGCCACTGCAAATCGTTTGTTTATATGTATTTATGGATGTATATCATATGAACAGTTTGCAACAAAGCAACCCTATGCCACTGCAACCTGCAAACCGTCTGAAGTGATAAGGCTTGAAAAAATAGAAAATATCTACAAGCATGTGTGTATGTCTGTCTGTATGGGTGCATATATGTATATATACGTGTATTAGAATGTGATGATAATCCCATAATTTTTTATTTAGAGATCTCGCCAAACATCAGAAAATAAAAGGGGAAAAAAAAGAAGTTTATTTTCAATTCAAAGTTTTATGTGAAAAATGTTTTACTGAGGAAAATATTTTTCATTGAACAAATGGAGCCTTGAGTGTCTGTTATTCTTTAGTTTCACCGTGCAACTTATTCTTGCTGTGAGATTTTGACAATAATAATCCCTGGCTTATGTGTTGCAGAAACTTCTTTGCCAGCTTTTTGAGCTTGACCGACACCTTCTTCAATATGTGAATGGTAATTAGGTAAATTGTTCAGCATTATAAGTTGTGTACAATAGATCTTTTCATGTTCCAATTTTTCCTCTCTGTTGTATTACATTCCATTTAAACGCTATCTCCCATATAGTATAACTATTGGTACGTGCTTCTCCGAAACAGTTTGGGGATTTAGGAATTTCAGCTGGTTGCAATGTTTAGTTACAGAAAATCCATGTGCTAGTTAAAATATCACTGACCTTTTTCATTTGCCAAGCAAGGAAATTTGACATATTGTCAAGGTTACCTATTGACACTGATTTGTGGCTAGACCATTTGATACTTTGATGTCAAATTTGTTGACAAGGGGCAAGATTTTCATTTATTCAAATGATTATAGTTCTCCAACTCCTGAACGTCAGTTTCAGTGTGGGGAGAATGGAATAGAATAGAAAATATTATTTATACGAATGGAATAGAATAGAAAATATTATTTATACAAGTCTAGACGAGTCCACACTATTCTAGAGAGCTTCGGAAGGGTCCGCACCTGTGTAGAGAAGCGTAGAAAGTTTTCCATGCAGACTGTCATGTCATGTCTATTGTATGCCCGCATGGCGTAACCTCTTGGTGCGGAACTTAACATTAGGTTCCGTTTGTTTCAACATAAAATATTTTCCTCTTTTAGGTAATATATATATATAAGCCTCGACCTCGACTTTGACCTTTGCCATATATATTTATTCTTCCGTGTTTGGCAAAGGTCAAGGTCGAGGCTTAATTTTTTTACATCCAAACAGACAGAGGCTTAATTTCTCTCATATTGTATATTGCCGCTACTTTTATTGGTAATTAACCGGGGTTTCGGTCAATTGTTACCACATTAAGTAAAAGTTTCTTCAAATCCAAGTACCATATGACTGTTATGGAGCTGACTTATTGTCCCATGAGGTGTAAAGTCTGTCCATGTTCAAGATATGCTGCAGATCATCTAGTCTCCTTCCCGTATCATCAATCACTTTAATTTTGGTTATTTTAATATCCCTTTGAAAAGAAAGATTCTCATCATTTTTTTTTTTTTGTTGCATGAAACCAAAATTGATTTTTGTTGATTGTTGGAACACCACATCACTAATAAATTAATCATATTACAGAAAGAAACAGGTGGGATACTAGCATACTACTCTCTTAAGTATGATTGCTTGTTGATTTATTCCAAGTAGGATCCTATGGACATAAACGGTACCACAAGATCTTAATGTAGTAAACTACGATTTCAAGCCCTACTCCGGTTTGGGTTCGGGTCCGGATCATGATGGATCTCTCAAAAATTGTAGACTGTCCCATTTTGGCATGGGGTCAAAATTAAAATCCAAGTCTGGTCGGTTGGATTTCTGAGTTGAACCAGAACCAAATTGATTATAACAGTCTAGTGAAAATTGAAACTGAACTCATAAAAAATGCCTAAATTGAGTTGTATAAGAATCGCGTAAGATTGGCTGAGTAAAAAACTCAGGTACTGTTTGATTACTCAATTTTTGAATGTATTAGGCGTTTATTTAATTAAGTGCATTTGATAACGCACTTTTAATATTATTGAAAAATGGTAAGCGTCACTTAAAGTGACATGGACATCACTTCTCATTGAATGCTAAACTTTGAAAATTTAAAAAAAAAATCAAAAAATGTTTATTTTTTAATTACCACTTAAAAACTTTAGCATTTAAAATTCTCAATATTTAATTTTCAGTTTTATCAAAAAGTTTTGAAAATAACTAGGTGCAACAACCCTCACTTTAGCCAAAGGCAATATTGTCCGCTTTTGGCTCTCCGATCATTTTTAAAATACATTGTGTCATAAAAGAGTGTTGAATCTATATATAGCACTTGTCCCATTCACACCTAGGCGATGTGGGATTGTGCACCTGTAGTTCGCCCAGTGTGGTAGTCTACTAATGTCACCTGCACACGTTCACATGCACTCGCCTACAAGGTCGTCACAATCAACTCCCCCGGGGGTCCAACGTCGTTGTTGACCACCCTTCCGAAGGGGTTAGGCTCTAATGTTATGTGTAACAACCCTCACCCTGGCCCTATGACCATGCTAGCCACACCCAAACACAATCTTTTGAACTGACAAATATTTATGGACACTCTGACTTGTAATGTCTTTGCTGATTGCACCGAAAACAAACGACGCCAATCCTATTACCCCTATGCTTTTCGGGTCAATTAGGAGTCGCGTCGTCTGTTTTCGGTGCAACCAATAGGGACACTACAAGTCATAGCGTCCACATATATCTGACAATTCAGGAGCTTATTTTGGATTGAATAATTTAGGCCAAACCTAAACATAGCAATAATGTAATATTCAAACTATAGTCTATAACAACTTTATATGGTTATGTGGATGAGGGTTAATGTTAAAATAATAATAAATAAAAGAGGTATGTATGTAGTCTTGGGTTTAAAGGATACAGTTTGGATTAAATTGGTCTTTAGAATGGAAATTAGATTTGAATGAGCATCCCATATAAGATTTTTTTATTTTTTTCACCCAAGCATCTCATATAAGTAACCATCCAAATTATGGGAAAAAAATTTAGGAGTGATCTTATGGAGACTCGAACTCTTGATCTTATGAGGTGAGAGTGTTCTGTCGTGGAGCTATTTTTTTGGGCTTGTTTATTTCGCCATTGTAGTTGGTCAAATTCTTGTACTTATTTGTTCCCATAGGGCTCAAACTCTCACTCCTACTTTGAGATGCATTTGTTCTTAGAGTTGTGAGAGAGAGTCTAGAAAGAGCCTAAAAATTGGATTTTAAATTTTGTTTGGTTCAATTTTTAAAAAAATAATTTTTGATTGTTTGAGAACTGAATACTATATAAAAACTTCTTTGTTTTTGAAAATTATTATATAAAAATTCAGTTAAAAAAAGTCAAATTTTAAAGAAAGGTCTATTATAGTTTTTTGAAAATAATTTTCTATTTTTTCAAATTCATAGAAATTGTTGTTTTATTTTTTATTTATTTTTAAATAACAAACAAAGTAAATCATTTTACTCTCACTTCTACTTTGAAACGAGGTGACACCACTTTACCTACAACACTTATTATTAAACTCTTTTTATTATAACAGGCAACATCAAGATTTTCAGTGGGTCCGGCTTGATCAACGTGGCGAGAAAATGGCGCCGCCGCATATTCGGCATTGACATTAAAAAAAATGAAATGAATGCGTAGCACCGAATCATAATAAGAATCCAGGTGCGTGCTCGCTTTCTAAAGATCCCGCCGCTTTGTGGACCCCAAGAATTCCTTGTCGGCTCACGCTAGGCCGACCCACTCACTATTTCTTTTTCCTTCTCCGCGTGCCATTAGCTGCCCTATGGATACGTTATGTATTTTTTTGATTTTTTTATTTTTCTCTAAGAAAATTTAGGGTAGTAATACATAAATTGAATTGTCAAAGTGAAATTGTTTCACGGACTATTTTGATTGGTTATATTTATCAAATGTAATGATTAATTAAGAGTTGTCGGTCAAGCAATTCATTTTGATAATTTAGTCTAAAATTTATTTTCTTACTAATTTACTGGCTGGATATCATTTGATTTGTATTTGAGTTGTTCGAGTTTAACTTGAATTTATTTCGTCGAGTTCGACTTTAATTTGCTGGTTTAACCAATTTTGAGTTCAATATGGAATTCAAAATGAATAGTGACAGAAGACAAAAATCACTTATAAAATCAACAAGAATCTAAAAACGAGTGTTGTTTACAAGTATTTGTTTATGAATATTTATGGGTGAAAACCTAATGATGGAGTCAAATTATTAGGTCTATGGGCTTGTTTTGTTTAAGAAACTCGAACCTGTTTGTTTGCTTTGTAAATGATTTCAAACTAAGTTTTAATTGAACCAAGTCTTACAAATGAGATTGCCATAGAATAATTATCCGGTGTGAACTTACATCCTCAATCGTAGAGTCAAGTGAACGTGGCCATGTACATCTAAATATGCATTCGTAGACATGAGCTCAAAGATGGACTAGTCTTTGAGAAATGTTATTTTTTCTAGTTTTTTTTTTTTTAGTAGGGGTGACAATATTTGACAGGGCATAAGTCGGTTTGGGTTTTATTTTGTTATGCTCGTCTTAAATATATAAATGAATATTGTATTGCATTAATAATGTAATGCTACGTTTGGTGTGCAGGAATGGAATGGAATCATTCCAACCATTTATTTATTTGATGTGCAGGAATGAAATAGAATTACAATTCAATTGGAATGAAAATCCATTACAGGGAATGAAAATTCATTCCACTACTAAACTTATGAAATGGCCATTCCATAATAAGATTAAATATTTTTGTAATATTTCCAAAAAACCCTTCATCACATTCCAATAAGGCAAAAATCTTTGGTATAGATAAAAAAAATATTTCACATTCTATTTTTCAACTTCTTTATTAGACGTGGTAAATGCCTTTCACTTTCCCTCTATTCTGAATATACCCAGCAGGATTTTCAACCAAATTACAAGTATTAGTCTCTTTATCTTCTGAGTATATCATTTTTTTTTTCCTATCTTTGTGTTGAAACATTTGTGTGATTTCTCCATCTTTCTTTCTTCAAACAAATATATATGGAACAATGATAATATAAAATAAAAATTAACAATCATCTGGAGTTAAAAATAATATTTTATTTTATTTTAAAGTTTTTCTTTATTTTTTTCAATGGCAGCATCTTATAACATTCCATAATTCATCGTCAGAATATTAATTAAATTCATTTTATTAAAAAGTAATGTAAGCCAATGAAAACGGTATTTTTGAGAATGTAAGCCAATGAAAACGGTATTTTTGAGAAAATTCATTCTATCCCAGATCTAATAATGGTCAACCAAACAATAGAATGGTAATAATCATTAAATTCCATAACGATTCACCGTGTCATACTAAATAACGGAATAATATTCTCATTCCATTCCATTCTCATTTTTATTCCATTCCGAGCTGCATTTCATTCCATTCTTGCACACCAAACGTAGCCTAAGAGCACAGAGGGGTTTATATAGTATAGGATATGTGTGGAGAGCAAGTAAACCCTATATATGGTAATGGTATATATGATAACGAGATTAGGTGAAGACAGTTAACCCTAACCCTAACCCTAATATACAATAGACAATATAATCTAATAGCCCCCCTCAAAATCAAGGTGGGTTATATGGAGCCATCTTGAGTTTGGAAAGATCATGAAAACAGCCTAACAGAAATTTGATGGAGATGGGTTTTCACCCATGATGCAGATGGAGGCACGGTTAATAAATAACGTGGTAGGTGATGGGGCATTATTGTTGGTTGTGTCTGACATGGCATT